GACAAGATAGATGGTCTGTCTGTGTGTCTCTTTCTCCCCCCCCCCCCCTCGCCTCGCTAATGACGGAAAGGAAATAAAGAAAGGGACAAGATAGATGGTCTGTCTGTGTGTCTCTTTCTCCCCCCCCCCCCCTCGCCTCGCTAATGACGGAAAGGAAATAAAGTAAGGGACAAGATAGATGGTCTGTCTGTGTGTCTCTTTCTCCCCCCCCCCCCCTCTTCTTCAGGACAGGTCTGTCTTTGATGCTGGAGGACGTTCCCCAGCTCTCATAAATGGTAAAAACACTCCATGCCGATTTCCATACGACGCTGCGGAAAAGCGTCACTTGCGGAAGCCGGAATGGGTTGACGGCTGGTGCTAAGTGTCTCCTTCGTTATTGTTTCATTGAAGAAGAGCGCCTGATGGACACTCGGCGTTAAACAGCAGGGTTCCTGAAGCGGTAGCCCGTCTGCTCACACTTCAGGCAGGTCCACGTCCTATGGTTCACTACAGATGGAGTGTGCATTGTGTGTGTGGGGCCTACGGACCAGACCTACAGTCGTCTCCCTCCCTTTTGCTTTTGTGGATCACGGCATTTGGCAGCTCAGCGTACATCATAGAAATTAAGGCCACATGAAAATGTGAGTTAAACTCCAGAGAAGCTCAGAAGTTTTCAGTGACCTGGGTCAGCTCTATGACTATTGCATTCTGAACCATACCGTTGCATTATCATGATATGCATATCAATGCACGGTTGTAGTGTTCATGAACATTGCAGAACCTGCCCTTTCTTCTACTGTCCTTTCTTACAGCCAGTTCCTTTTCTTTACACTTTAATCTAATACCGCCGGACACCATATCATAACCATGTCACACCACAGAATTCCAAATCAATATGATTACCAATCCAATGCGTATTGTTCGGGATATGAGTCTATTAAAATGTGACACATTGGACTGATGTTTTTATTTCGTTTGCCACAGTCAATCTATGATGGTAAATCTGAAAGATGTTCCATATTAATTGCATGTCTGTATCTTTTATAAACGAGAGCATTTAACATCTGAGGATAGTAGACCAGTAGCTCTTGTACCATTTAACTTGCCATACCTTTATTAGGGGTTATTAATTTAAATATAACGGAACTGCAATAATAACCTTATACACAGGTGATTCCCTTTCCTGTGGGTTAGAAATACTTTGACTTATCAAACATCCCTCCCTATTTTCCTAGTGTCTTAGAAAACAGCGCAAAAATCGTCATCAGTATTGTGAATCGCAAATCAGCTAAGTTTAATTCACACCCAGGCTGCCATTAATTGTCATTTTCAAGGTCCCAGACAGTAGATCATCCACGAAAGGCTAAGGAATCTCTGGAAGTTTTCGTTTTCATTTCTGACTGTCTGTGTCTAGAGAAAGAATCAGTTT